CTATACCACTTATTTCATCAATCTTTCTTCAAAAACGCCTCAATCATGGTCGGAGGAAGATCAAAGTCAAAGGCTTTGAAGAAGAAAAGCACCGCCGAACCCTCAAGCTCCGCGCCTCCTCCGTTCCCATATTTGGACGGATCCTTATTGGAGTTCGGGTCGGAGGAGGAACTCAACCGGTTCCTCACGCTCTTTGCCAAGCGTCCCATTTCTCCGCCTAGGGTGCTGCCGGAGTTGTACCCTCAACAAAAGGGGTACCACGAGCGGATTGCGGCTCCATCGCCCTTCAACGAGGACTTGAAGGCGATTCATGCCATCATCCACGGCGCCTCCATCAATTGGGCGAAATTCGTGATGATCCACATGGCGGATTGCGCCTCCATCGCCACTGAGCGGAGCTTGCCATACGCCTTCCTCGTCATGGACCTCATCATCTCCGCCGACATCTCCATCGCCGGCCCGGATACGAAGATGACAAAGATTTGGATAATTCAAGACAGCACCTTCCGGAAGAAGTCCGGAGACCGGGACGGCGCAGGCCCAAGTCGTGCACCTGCCCCCGCTCAAGCCAAGGCCTCTCTGCAATCCATAGCCGATACTCTGAACCGGCTAACCCTCATAGTGGATGGCATGGGGCAGTCAATCGAGCGGATGGACTGGACGCTGCAACGCCAACACCTCGACATGACGGCGTTCTTCCGCGGCGTCAACTACGTCCCGCCGCCCTTTGACAGCACCTTCCTCGGCCAAAACTATGAAGGCGAGGACGAGGAGGATAACTCCTATGCTCCATCCTCCTCCCCCGACGAGGCCGACTTTGAAGATTCGGTCGACGGCGATCCCATGGACGTCGAGGACGATGAGGACGCCGATGCTTAGACTTTTTTTTCTCTTCTTCATATGATTGTATTTTTTTATTTTTTTCCATTCCGTTGTATTCCGCATTTCCTTTTTTCATGAATAAAAAGTTTCCTTTTACAATTCTAAAGTTTACTTTTCATTCTTTTTGTTAATGTCAAAAGGGGGAAGATATTAAGGTTATGCATAAATTAAGGGGGAATTTTTTTTCTAAAATGGCATCTATTAAGGGGGAACATCTTTTTCAAAATAATCCTCCTATGCATAACCTCGTCTCGTTTGCCATTATCAAAAAGGGGGAAATTGTTGAAACACGGGCTTGTCAGGTTTTCGTACTAAAGCCGTGTTCGTTTTTGTAACAGGTTTTGATAATGCCAAACCGCCGTGATCAAGTCAAACATTGAATATACAAGGCGAAGAACGAAGATAAGAGCAAGAGCTAAACGAAGACCAAGAACGAAGACCTTAATCATAGTATTGAGTCGGTCTTTATTGTGATCAAGACCGACCCAATCTTTACACCTTGGCTCTTAAGGCTAAAATCACTCATTGCATTTCTTACATCATAAAAACGTTTTTCAAATTTGTTTAAGTCATTAAACACACTTGGTGTTCGCCCAAACCAAAAACCAAGCCATCCAGTGTTCGGCTTTCAGAAACCAGCGTTCGGCTTTCGGTTGTCGGGTTTGGTTTTTGGCATCCAAACCAACCAACTGGTTTTCAGCATTTTATGATCTGCTTTCACTCTTTGGCATGTTTAAACGGTTATCCAACAAAAACACTTTGAAAACCATCTCTCGCTTTTAGTCGTTTGACAAAAACCACGCAAAACGGCGCAAACTTGGCTAGCCGTGGTTTTTACTCAAATGACGTGATTTTTAAAGTGTCTCACTTGATTTCTTAGCCAAATACATCAAATAAGTGTTTTAAACACTTGGTTTTTATTTTGGAGAACTTTGGATTTTTCAGTTGGTTTTTGCATCTGTTGGCCAGGCCGTGGTTAAGGCAAAAACCATAGGTTTTTGGCTAACCACCCACCCAGCGATGGGAAGAACATCCCATCGATGGGTAAGTAGCCCCTTAGCAAAACCAACTTCCTGAACCATGCCAAACAGCGATGGGAAGCTCTACCCATCGCTGTTCAAGCCTTGGTCCAACATTATCACAAGGCAGAATGCCCTTACCCAGCGATGGGAAGCTTTACCCATCGATGGGAACCCAGCGATGGGAAGGCTTAACCATCGATGGGAAGGCATGACCGTTGTGAGTCATTTAAGACTGATTCTTTCCTTGTTTGAAAGTCCACCTCCCACCCAGCGATGGGAAGCATTTACCCATCGATGGGTAGGTGACCGTTGGCTTCAAAACTGAAGGAAATTTGGCTTACCAGCGATGGGTGAGTCTAAACATCGATGGGAAGCCAATATCCTGCAGATCCCAAATTAATTCAATCCCATAAATCAAGCCAATCACCCCTTTAATGTATTGGTCCGTTGGAGCCTTTTTTGGCACTATAA